AATGATGAATAAAGAAAATGTGAATATATATAAAATGAAATATTTTCCAGCCATAAGGAAGAATAAAATTATGTTGTTATTTGCCAAAATGGATGAAACTGGAGAATATCATGATAATAAAAATAAGCCAATACTAAAAATTCAAAGGCCAAGTGTTTTTTTTTTTTTCTGATATGCAGATGCTAATTCACAGTAAGGGGGTGCCAGGGAATAATAGAATTATGTTAGATTAGGTAAAGGGAAGGAAGGGGAGGGGATATGAGGGTAGGATTAATAGTAGAATGAATCAGACATTATTACCCTATATACATATATGACTATAGCACTAGTAGGATTCTACATCATGTACAACCAGAAGAATGAGAAATTATACTTCATTTATGTATGATGTATCAACGTGCATTCTATTGTCATGTATAACTAATTAGAATAAATTTTTAAAGGCCCAAAATTATCTTTTTGTTTTCTCAATTTTATCTAACACTTTTCTGTGTTTTTGATTTCCACCCTAATCTCAAGTTTTTTCTTTGGAGGAATTTTTTTCTTAAATTGGAAGATAAGATTATTTATCTGTGATCCTCTTTGTTCTGAATGAGATAGACATCATTACTCTAAGTACACATATGAAGACATGAATGGTGTGACTCTACTTTGTGTACAACCAGAGATATAAAAAATTGTGCTCTATATGTGTAGTATGAATTGTAATGCATTTTGCTGTCACATATAACAAATTAAAATTAAAAATATATCTGTGGAAAAATGGGTATTTATAAACTTAACATTTTTTCTTTAATGTTAATTTAGTAATATCCAGAATTTTTATATGTTGGATTTTCATTGTCTTTCAATTCAAAATACTCTTGAATTTCCCTTTTTCATTGATTTTTTGGCCCCTGAGCCCTTAGTACTTTGTTAATTTGTTTCCCAGTATTTGGTTATTTTCTGTAAGTGGATATTTCAGTAAGTGATTTCTAATCTAATTTGATTATAGTTGGAAAATTACTTTGAATGAACTGAAATTTTTCAAATATGTAGAGAATTTGTTATGGCACAAAATATTGTCCATCTCGGTAAATGTTTCAGGTATAATTAGAAGAAACATATATTTGTTAAAGTTATTTAAACATCTATTAGTTTAAATTAGTCATTAATGTTGTTTAAGTCTTGTATCCATTACTAACTGTCTGTCTATATTTTAAAAAAATTATTAATAAAAGTTTATTGAAATCATCAAGTGTGGGTTTGTCTATTGCCCCTTGTGATTTTATCGGTGTTTACTTCATGTATTTGTAGCCTCTCTAATTGGATATATAAGCATCAAATCCTCTTGATAAATTAATAACTTTAACAGGATTAAGTGAGTTTTCTTATTCAATATAATATTGTTTGCTCCAAAATATGTTTTGACTGATGTTAATATAGCCACCACTCCGGTTTCTATGGATTAATGTTAACACATACAAGTTTTTTACCTTTTTACTTTCAATACTTTTGTGTTTATATACTTTGAGATTTTTGTAAGAAAGTATGTGGTTTAAGCAAAACAAAACAAAACAAAACTATAATCCTACCCTCTTGCCTTCTAGTTGGGGATGTATTAGGGTTCTCTAGAGAAACAGAATCAATAGGAAGTATGGTTATAAAAAAGGAATTTATTAGATTGGCTTACATGACCAGCAGCTAATAGTCCACAATGGCTGTCTGCAGGCTTGAGAGTTGGAAGACAAAGTAGCTGTGCAGTACGAGAAGCTTAAGCCTCAGAAAAATAGGGAACAACAGTCTGAAACTGAAGGCTTCTGTAAATTCCCTGGAGAATTGAGTCATTGTCTGATGTCCTCAGGCGATTTGGGCAGGAATCAAGAACTTGTTCAAGGAGAATTGAGCTTGCATCTGCTGCTGCTTCCTTGTTCTTCCAGATTTTATTCCATCCAAGCCACCATCTTATTGGATGGTACTACTCATGCTTATGGAAGGTCTTCACTTCAATTCACTATCCCATATGCCAATCATTCCTAGACATACCCTCAGTGACACACCCAGAAGCTTCTTAATGTTTGTCATCTCTTAATCCAATCAAGTTGACAATTCAAATTAATCATTACAGGGAGTATTCACATTATTTACTTTTGATATATTATTAATAAGATTTGTCAAAATCCTTCATCATCCTATAATTTGCCATGTGCCCCATCTATTATTTGTTCCCTTTCTCCCATTTTTTCTGCTTTGTTTTGGGTTTGGCATAGATTATCTTCTAGTTGTAAGCCAAATTATCTTTTACCTTTTTCTTTTCATTCTTGGTAATTTTTTATTGTATATTAGATATTATAAATTCTGGTCTCTTTTCTTTTTTTAGATATTGGATATGTTCTCATTGTTATAAATATCTAAAACTTTCTTTTGGTACCTAGATAAGTTACCTGGAAACAGTTTGACTCCTTTGGATCTTGCTTTTAAGATATGTATATAATCAAAGCAATACTGTGTCTTCATCTAAGCACTGAGGCAAGAGTATTTTATAGCATGTTATATATTAAATTTTTTTCTAATCTGATTATAAAAGGTGCCATTTTCTACCAACGCAAATGCCAGGCACTGTTACATATAATATTTTTGTTTGTTTGTTTGTTTTTTGTTTTTGTTTGCTTGTTTGGTGAGCTCTTCTCCAGCATCAGGTAGGTCTTTTACACACACACACACACACACACACACACACACACACACACACTGATCAGTACTCAACTGAGCACTCAAGTATAGAACCTCTACAGCTCTCAGGAGTTTTCTGTCTGTGCAGAAGTTAGCTGCCCTGTTCTTGCTGTATGCTTAACTCATCTCTTCAACTCAAGGAGTGTGTAGCCTCCCCTTTCGTTTTCCTCCCTGTTCTGTCCCCTGGAAACTCTCTCAACAAAATAGGCAGAGGCAATCACAGATATTACATGCTTCTTTCCTGTCTCTTAGTGATCACTGTTTTACTGCTTGTTGTCTAAAGCCTTGAAAACCATTGCTCTCATGTTTTGTTCTCTTTTTTATCATTTCAGGAGATAGGATAAATCTGGACATGTTACTTCATCTTGATGAGAAAAATAATTCATTTCTTTTAAAGATTAATAAACTGTGGTTAAGATGTTATATAATATTCCCAAACAACTCTAATGATCTCATAATCACCAGAGTGGACATTCTAAGAAATAAATTCGGACTTTTAAGAACTAAAACCAAAATGATGATGACAAACTAGATTAAAGATACTTCACTGATGTTATTTCTGGTGCATTTTTGGTGGTTTATTCCAAATTGATGCTCCTTTGAAATAGAATAAAGGATTCAATTTCTCCACTGACACACAGATAAAATGATTATGTAATTTGGGCCTAAAACTAATTTTTTATTTGTTTTAATCAGTTATACATGACAGCAGAATATTCTTCGATTCACTGTACACAAATGGAGCACAATTTTTTACTTCTCAGATTGTACACCAAGTAGAGTCAAAGCATTTGTTCAATCATACAAGTACCTAGGGTAATGATGTCCATTTAATTACACCATCTTTTCTACCTCCATGCTCCCTCTTATCCTCTTCCCCTTTGCCCAATCTAAAGTTTCTCTATTCCTCCCATGCCTCTCCCCCATCATGGATCAGCATCCACTTATAAGAAAAAACATTCAGCCTTTGTTATTTTTGGATTGGCTTACTCCATCCATTTACCTCAAATGCCATAATTTTATTCTCTTTTAATGCTGAGTAATATTCTATTGTGTATATATACCACAGTTTCTTTATCCATTCATCTATTGAAGGGCATCTATGTTGTTTCCACAATTTAGCTATTGTAAATTGTGCTGCTATAAACGTTGAACTTGCTGCTTCACTGTAGTATGCTGTTTTTAAGTCCTTTGGGTATAGATCAAGGAGTAGGATGGCTGGGTGGAATGGTGGTTCCATTCCAAGTTTTCTGAGAAATCTCCATACCACTTTCCATAATGGATGCACCAGTTTATAGACCCATCAGCAGTGTATGAGTGTGCCTTTTCCTCCAAACCCTTGTCAACACATATTGGTGTTTGTATTCTTGATAACTGCCATTCTAACTGGAATGAGATACATAGGATCTTAGAGTAGTTTTGATTTGCATTTCTCTAATTACTAGAGATGTTGAACATTTTTTCATATATTTGTTGATCGATACTGTATTTCCTTCAAAGAAGTATCTGTTCATTTCCTTAGCCCATTTATTGATTGGGTTGTTTGATTTTTGATGTTAAGTTTTTTGGGCTCTTTATAAATGCTAGAGATAAGTGCTCTATCTGATGTGCATGTGGTAAAAATTTGCTCCCATTCTGTAGGTTTTTCTCTTCACCTCATTGATTTGTAAAAATAAGAGACCCAGAATAGTCAAAGAAATCCTCACAAACAAGAATGAAACAGAAGGATCATAATACCAGAACTTAAATTATACTACAATGCTATAGTAACAAAAATGGCATGGTATTGGCACCAAAATAGAGCATGTAGACCAATAGTACAGAATAAAGACACAGAGACAAAACCCACATATATACAGTTATCTAATACTAGACAAAGGTGCCAAAAACATGCACTGGTGAAAAGATAGCTTCTTTAACAAGTGGTGCTGGGAAAACTGGAAATACACATGCGGTAAAATACAACATGAGGAATTAGAATATCACAACCTCCAAGAATAGGGATGGGGTTTGGAAATCATTTTGGCTCAGTGATTTTCATTTTGCCAATATAGAATCTGAGTATTAGGAAAATTCAGGTTCTAGTTCTGCCTTGACAGTATTCTTGGAGTGTGTGTTTATGTTTGTGACATAATGCAGATTTTGAGATACAAATTTCTCTAATTTTGAAACAATGACCTAATTCAATTATACTTCATTAATTTGACATTTAATTACTATATGAAAAAGTGAGTTTTTGCTAACAAATATCAGAATGAAAATGAAATTATACCCCTATCTCTCACCAGGTACAAAACTCAACTCAAAGTGGATTAAGATCCTAGGAATTAAACCAGAGACCCTGCACCTTATAGAAGAAAAACTAGGCCCAAATCTTCACCATGTTGGCTTAGGACCTGACTTCCTTAATCAGACTCCTAAAGTGTAAGAAATAAAATCAAGAATTAGTAAATGGGATGCATTCAAACTAAAAAGATTCTTCTCAGAAGAAGAAACAATCAATGAGGTTATAAGAGAGTCTAATTTTATTATTAATAGCTTATAGTGGTATTCTGCTTATAGTGGTATTCAGTTGATTTCACCTCAGATTTTCACTTTGGCTGCAAAGGATTAGGACTGAAAATTTTATAAAGAAGAACACTACTTCCAACAGTTCATCCCACAGTCTAGTGCTTGGGAAAGCTAAAATTAATGGCATTTATAATCTTAAATTTGGCTTCAGACCTGGTGCTTGCACACTTGTATCCAGAAGAAGCTAAGGTTCAACACAGGTTCAATATATGTTCTAAGTACATGAATTGGTAGAATACAAGATAATCACAGAAAAAAGGGCACATCTGAGACAATCCACTAGGAAGAATGGAGTGAAGAATTCTCTCACACAGGCTGAGAGTCTGAGAACAGGGGAGACAAGTTAGTAAGATCATGGAAGCAATAGTAAGCAATAAGGTTTGATGGTGGAGCAAAGCTTCCACCGGAAAAGGACTCACTTTAAATTTCTTTCTTGGACAAGAAATCATGGGTAGTTTTCACTGCTTGTTTCCTTGTGAAATTCTCTTCCAGGAAGGCAGAAGCCATTTCTGTATTGTTCAAAATCATTGCTAAACTGTATATGGTGGTGCATGCTTGTAATCCCAGTGGCTCTGGAGGCTGAGGTAGGAAGATCACAAGTTCAAAGCCAGCCTCAGCAACTTAAAGAGGACTTGGCTCTAAATAAAATATGAAAAAGGGCTGAGGATGTGATTCAGAGATTAATCACTCACAGATTCAATCCTAAAAAATCATATTGCTACTTTTGAGCACAGTGATTTTAGCCCTGATGATTTTATTGAATGAATGGTTGATTAGATGGATGATAAGGAAGACCATATAAATACAACATGAGAATTAGAACATCACAACCTCCAAGAATACAGATGGGGTTTGGAAGTCATTTTGGCTCAGTGATTTTCATTTTGCCAATGTAGAATCTGAAAATTAGGACAATTCAGGTTCTAGTTCTGCCTTGACAGTATTCTTAGAGTGCGTGTTTATGTTTGTGACATATTGCAGATTTGAGATAAAAATTTCTCTAATTTTGAAACAATGAACTAATTCAGTTACACTTCATTAATTTGACATTTAATTCCTATAAAAAAGTAACAAATATCAGAGATTCTGAGGAAAAAATAATCTCATCATAATCATATTTGAGCTTGTACAATTATAATCACTGGCATGATTCTAGTTACTTTTGGTTTTATAATTCAATTAGATTATAATGTTTAATTCTTCATAATCCTGATTAATTCTTCATAATCTTACACATAAAGGACCATATTTTTAAAGCTTTTAACTATTTTTTAACTTATTTTACATGAGTATAGAGTACCTAATTAAAACTAAAATAATTCACTTATACATAAAAACTCCTAGGCACAAGTATTTTTCAGCAAATTGGTCATTTCTTTCCACAAACTACTTCATAGAATAACATTAGAAAGAAAACTATTTTTCCAATATAGAGTTAAGTACTCTGTGCCTGAACTCAGCAACTATAGCTTTTGAGGCATTTTTTTAAAAAATAAAGTCTTTTTAGAACACAGCCTAGCCCATTGATTTACTTATTTTCTGTAGATACTTTTATGTTACAACAACAGAGCTGAGGAATTGTGACAGTCTCTATGGTTAGCAAAGCTGAAAATATTTGTTATTGACCCACTATAGAAAAATGCTTGGTGATCTCTGCTTAATATGATGGGGAAAGAAGAAAAATCCAACTTCTCCTTGTAATGTTCAAGTTTTAGATAAAATGAAGAATGTTGCTTTTTAAATCAATTCAGTTGTTAGAGATTAATTTTTCTTTGTTTTATTTTGGTTTATAGGGCTACCAGTCAAACCCAGAGGCCTGCACATGCTAAGAATGCTGTAAGTACTCTTCTACTGAGCTATATCCTCAGCCCTAGAAAGTTTTTAGTGTTACTTTCCTGAAGAGTCAATGTAATCTTGGTATCAGGCTTAGAATTGCATTTTCTTTTTTTTTTATTGGTTGTCAAAACATTACAAAGCTCTTGACATATCATATTTCATGCATTAGATTCAAGTTGGTTATGAACTACCAATTTTACCCCAAATACAGATTGCAGAATCACATCGGTTACACATCCACATTTTTACATAATGCCCTATTAGTAACTGTTGTATTCTGCTACCTTTCCTATCCTCAACTATCCCCCCTCCCATCTTCTCTCTCTACCCCATCTACTGTAATTCATTTCTCTCCTTGTTTATTTTCCCATTCCCCTCACAACCTCTTATATGTAATTTTGTATAATAATGAGGGTCTCCCTCCATTACCATGCAATTTCCCTTTTCTCTCCCTTTCCCTTCCACCTCATGTATCTGTTTAATGTTAATCTTTTCTTCCTGCTCTTCCTCCCTGCTCTGTTCTTAGTTGCTCTCATTATATCAAAGAAGACATTTGGTATTTGTTTTTTTTAGGGATTGGCTAGCTTCACTAAGCATAATCTGCTCTAGTGCCATCCATTTCCCTGCAAATTCCATGATTTTGTCATTTTTTAGTGCTGCGTAATGCTCCATGGTGTATAAATGCCACATTTTTTTTATCCATTCATCTATTGAAGGGCATCTGGGTTGGTTCCACAGTCTAGCAATTGTGAATTGTGCTGCTATGAACATCGATGTGGCAGTATCCCTGTAGTACGCTCTTTTAAGGTCTTCAGGGAATAGTCCGAGAAGGGCAATAGCTGGGTCAAATGGTGGTTCCATTCCCAGCTTTCCCAGAAATCTCCATACTACTTTCCAAATTGGCCGCACCAGTTTGCAGTCCCACCAGCAATGTACAAGAGTACCCTTTTCGCCACATCCTCGCCAGCACTTGTTGTTGTTTGACTTCATAATGGCTGCCAATCTTACTGGAGTGAGATGGTATCTTAGGGTGGTTTTGATTTGCATTTCTCTGACTGATAGAGATGGTGAGCATTTTTTCATGTACTTGTTGATTGATTGTATGTCCTCCTCTGAGAAGTGTCTGTTCAGGTCCTTGGCCCATTTGTTGATTGGGTTATTTGTTATTTTATTGTCTAATTTTTTGAGTTCTTTGTATACTCTGGAAATTAGGGCTCTATCTGAAGTGTGAGGAGTAAAAATTTGTTCCCATGATGTAGGCTCCCTATTTACCTCTCTTATTGTTTCTCTTGCTGAGAAAAAAACTTTTCAGTTTAAGTAAGTCCCATTTGTTGATTCTTTTTATTAACTCTTGTGCTATGGGTGTCCTATTAAGGAATTTGGAGCCCGACCCCACAATATGTAGATTGGAGCCAACTTTTTCTTCTATCATAGGCAGAGTCTCTGATTTGATATCTAGCTCCTTGATCCACTTTGAGTTAACTTTTGTGCATGGCGAGAGGAGGGGATTCAGTTTCATTTTGTTGCATATGGATTTCCAGTTTTCCCAGCACCATTTGTTGAAGATGCTATCCTTCCTCCATTGCATGCTTTTAGCTCCTTTATCAAATATAAGATAGTTGTAGCTTTGTGGATTAGTCTCTGTGTCCTCTATTCTGTACCATTGGTCCACCCGCCTGTTTTGGTACCAGTACCATGCTGTTTTTGTTACTATTGCTCTGTAATATAGTTTGAAATCTGGTATCGCTATACCGCCTGATTCACACTTCCTGCTTAGAATTGCTTTTGCTATTCTGGGTCTTTTATTTTTCCATATGAATTTCATGATTGCTTTATCTATTTCTGCAAGAAATGTCGTTGGGATTTTGATTGGCATTGCATTAAACGTATAGAGAACTTTTGGTAATATCGCCATTTTGATGATGTTAGTTCTGCCTATCCATGAACAGGGTATATTTTTCCATCTTCTAAGATCTTCTTCTACTTCTCTTTTTAGGGTTCTGTAGTTTTCATTGTATAGATCTTTCACCTCTTTTGTTAGGTTGATTCTCAAGTATTTTATTTTTTTTTGAGGATATTGTGAATGGAGTGTTTTTCCTCATTTCCGTTTCAGAAGTTTTGTCGCTGATATACAGGAATGCCTTTGATTTATGTGTGTTGATTTTATATCCTGCCACTTTGCTGAATTCATTTATTAGTTCTAGTAGTTTTTTTGTAGACCCTTTTGGGTCTTCTAGGTATAGAATCATGTCACCTGCAAATAGTGATAATTTAAGTTCTTCTTTTCCTATTTTTATGCCTTTAATTTCTTTCGTCTGTCTAATTGCTGTGGCCAGTGTTTCGAGAACTATATTGAATAGAAGTGGTGATAGAGGGCATCCCTGTCTTGTTCCAGATTTTAGAGGGAATGCCTTCAATTTTTCTCCATTCAGAATGATACTAGCCTGAGGCTTAGCATAGATAGCTTTTACTATGTCGAGGTAAGTTCCTGTTATCCCTAGTTTTTCTAATGTTTTGAACATAAACGGATGCTGTACTTTGTCGAATGCTTTTTCTGCGTCTATCGAGATGATGATATGGTTCTTATCTTTAAGTCTAGTGATGTGGTGTATAACATTTATTGATTTCCGTATATTGAACCATCCTTGCATCCCAGGTATGAATCCTACTTGATCATGGTGCACAATTTTTTTGATGTGCCTTTGTATCCGATTCGCCAGAATTTTATTGAGGATTTTTGCATCTAGGTTCATCAGACATATTGGTCTGTAGTTTTCTTTCTTTGAGGTGTCTTTGTCTGGTTTCGGAATCAGGGTGATGTTGGCCTCATAGAATGAATTTGGCAGAGCTCCCTCTTTTTCTATTTCCTGAAATAACTTGAAAAGTATTGGTAATAATTCTTCTTTAAAGGTTTTGTAAAACTCTGCTGTATACACATCTGGTCCTGGGCTTTTCTTGGTTGGTAGTCTTTTGATTGCTTCTTCTATTTCATCCATTGTTATAGGTCTGTTTAAGTTGTGAGTATCCTCCTGACTCAGTCTGGGCAAATCATATTACTTAAGAAATTTATTGATGTCTTCACTATCTTCTATTTTATTGGAATATAGGTTTTCAAAATAATCTCTAATTGTCTTCTGTATTTCTGTAGCATCTGTTGTGATTTTGACTTTTTCATCCCATATGTTAGTAATTTGAGTTCTCTCTCTTCTTCTCTTCGTTAGCATGGCTAAGGGTCTGTTGATCTTATTTATTTTTTCGAAGAACCAACTTTTAGTTTTGTTAAGTTTTTCAATAGTTTCTTTTGTTTCAATTTCGTTGATTTCCGCTCTGATTTTAATTATTTCTTGCCTTCTGCTACATTTGCTGTTGTTTTGCTCTTCCTTTTCTAGGGCTTTGAGATGAAGTGTGAGCTCATTTATTTGTTGGTTTTTCCTTTTTTTGAGGAATGACCTCCAGGCGATGAATTTCCCTCTTAAAACTGCTTTCATTGTGTCCCATAGATTCCGATATGTTGTGTCTGTATTTTCATTTATCTCTAAGAATTTTTTGATTTCCTCCTTTATGTCTTCTGTAACCCATTGATCATTCAGTAACATATTGTTCATTTTCCATGTGATGTAGGATTTTTCCTTCCTTCTTTTATCATTGATTTCCAGTTTCATTCCATTATGATCAGATAAAATGCATGGTATTATCTCCACCCCTTTATATTTACTGAGGGTTGCCCTATGGCATAATATATGGTCTATTTTTGAGAAGGATCCATGTACTGCTGAGAAAGAAGTATATCCACTTGATGATGGTTGATATATTCTATATATGTCAGTTAAGTCAAGGTTATTGATTGTGATATTGAGTTCTATAGTTTCTTTATTCAACTTTTGTTTGGAGGATCTGTCCAATGGTGAGAGACGTGTGTTGAAGTCACCCATAATTATTGTGTTGTGGTCTATTTGATTCTTGAACTTGAGGAGAATTTGTTTTATGAACATCGCAGCACCATTATTTGGTGCATAAATATTGATAATTGTTATGTCTTGCTGGCGAATGGTTCCTTTTACCCATATATAATGTCCTTCCTTATCCCTTTTGATTAACTTAGTCTTGAAGTCAATTTTATTCGACATGAGGATGCCCACCCCTGCTTGCTTACGATGACCGTGTGCATGGTACATTTTTTCCCAACCTTTCACCTTCAGCCTGTGTATGTCTTTTCCAATCAGATGTGTCTCCTGAAGGCAGAATATTGTTGGATTTGTTTTTTTAATCCATGTTACCAGCCTATGTCGCTTTATTGGAGAGTTTAAGCCATTAATGTTTAGAGTTACTATTGATATATGGTTTGTACTTCCAGCCATGTTTGATTATTTATCTTCTTTTTTTTTTTTTTTAAATTAGTTTGTTTCTCCATGATTAGCTTTCCCCCGCCCTCTGTCTTTACAGAGGCACTTCCCACTGATGGTTTTGGTTATTGTTTTTCATTTCTTCCTTGTGTAGTGTTTTGCTCAAGATGCTTTGCAATGCTGGTTTTCTGGCTGCAAATTCTTTTAGCTTTTGTTTATCATGAAAGATTTTTATTTCATTGTCGTACCTGAAGCTTAATTTTGCTGGATACAGAATTCTTGGTTGGCATCCATTGTCTTTCAGTGTTTGAAATACGTTGTTCCAGGTTCTTCTCGCTTTCAGCGTCTGTGATGAAAAATCCATTGTTAACCTTATTGGTTTACCCCTGAATGTAATCTGCCTCCTTTCTCTTGTAGCTTTCAGTATTTTCTCTTTGTTCTGTATATTGGATATCTTCATAACAATGTGTCTTGGTCTACTGTGATTTTGTGTGCTCGGTGTCCTGTATGCATCTACAATTTGTATATCTGTTTCCTTTTTTTATTTCTGGAAAGTTTTCTGTAATTATTTCATTCAGCAGGTTACTCATTCCCTTGGTTTGAATCTCTGTACCTTCCTCTATCCCGATGATTCATAAGTTTGGTTTTTTTATATTAT